CGGAATAAGTACTCAAATGTAAACATAACAGAACACAAGCATGGTCACCATAATGGAATGAAGACAAGCACAGAGTACAAAAAACGTAAACACAGGATAACACAGAACGAAGACGGACAGACTGAAGAAATTGAACTGAGGAAATTGAGAAAGTCTTCAGTCAAAGTCTTCAAACAGATATGAACAAGCACACAACAACAGAAATGAAGTAATGAAAGAGTTGAGGAAATAGAACCAGTAAGCTTGGTGAAGACAATGATTTGGTAGACCAGTTCCAATGGCTATCTCAGTTCTACGTCTAGTTGGAGCGGATGAGTATTTAAACTCGAGGACACACAGTCCCGGACACACAGTCCTCACCATATTCTCCTTGAGCTAAGGTCACACAGACCTTGCCCAATTACTCGTGGTAAGTCTTCAGGTGACTTCCAAGCCTTCACAGACTAGGTCACTCGATGATCCACAATTCCTCTTGGATGCTCTAGACCATGACGCCTAACCGTCTGGAAGAAGCACAGTCTTCAAAGGTAACAAGCGTCGGATCCATGAAGGATCAATCTCTTCAGTGATGCTCAATCACTTTGGGTTTGTAGGTGTGTTGGGTTTGGGTTTTCCTCACTTGATGATTTTCGCTCAAAGTCCTCACAGGATGAGCACAAGTGTCAGTTTCTCTCGGAGCAGCCAACCAGCTAGTGGTTGTAGGGGGCAGCTATTTATAGCCTAGGGAGCAGCCCGACATGATAAGACATAAATGCCCTTCAATGATATGACCGTTAGGTGGGTAAATATTTTGGGACAGTTTGGCGCATAGCACAACAATGGTCGGAATTTTTGACTCTCAAATTCCTCAGGGCTATCATGTTCCTCACTGTGTAGGCAATCCGCACTGGCGAATTCCTACCTCCTCAGTCAGAACAAATTCCTCAGAGACAAGAAGAACTTCGTCTCTGTCACTGAAGAATATGACTGAACTGTATGAGATTTCCAATGGCTTCACTCGAAGGGATTGGTGGGTGTAGGATTTTGAGTTGAGCATCACTTGGAAGTTTTTCCTAAGTATTTCCTCGACCCCCTTTAACAGTACGGTGTTTCCTATGACTCAAGAAAGAGAAAATGAAACTATAAAAACAAAAGTCTTCACGCTTCATGTTCCTCGAAAGATTACCAAGTCTTCAAGGCCACACCAATTTCTTCACTTTCAAAGTCTTCAGAAATCCAAAGTCTTCAGTTGAAGAACTTCATTTTTAGGGGTTGACTTTCTCTGTAAATATCAAACTCCTCATAGACTTATAGACATGTGTACACTCACAAACGCATCAGTCCCTTAACCTATAAGTCTTCAATACACCAAAATCACTAAAGGGCACTAGATGCACTTACAATTACAAACTTTCTGTTAGTGCTAGTAGTTTTCAAATTTGAATAGTTTAAATTTGAATTATTTTAAATTTGTGTGAATCACTAGTTTGTGAATAACTTAACTTTAAAAATAGATTTTCCAGTGATTCTTTTTTTATGTTTAATATTAGTGTGTTTTATCATTATATTCAAATTGATAATACATCTGGAGTTGTAATAAGTTAAAAAAAATGAAGTGCCGGTGTAACAGATGAGTTTTCGTCCGAAACCCTGATGCTTCGAAAGAGATTGTCCAGTTTATACACGAAGTGCATCCAGTTTTTGCCGTAACCCTCTCTACTTTTTTGCACATGCTATGAGGGTGAAATGATGATACCATGCCAACTTTCAACCTTTTCAGAGTTCATTTTGTAGTGCTTTTCAATTTCACGGTCATTTAGCTCTCAAAACAAATCGGTAAATGAATGAAAAATAGCAAATGATTTCAGAAAGGGTTGAAAGTTGATGACATGGCTTTGAATGGTGCATACTAAATGCAAAAAAAGTCTGGAGTTGTAATAAGTTAAAAAAAATGAAGTGCCGGTGTAACACATGAGTTTTCGTCCGAAACCCTGATACTTCTAAAGAGATTGTCCAGTTTGTACACGAAGTGCATCCAGTTTTTGCCGTAACCCTATCTACTTTTTTGCACATGCTATGTGGGTGAAATTATGATACCATGCCAAGTTTCAACCTTTTCAGAGTTCATTTGTAGTGCTTTTCAATTTTAGAGTCATTTAGCTCAAAACAAATTAGTAAATGCATGAAAAATAGCAAATGAAGGCAGAAAAGTGTTGAACATTGATGACGTGGCTTTGAATGGTGCATAGCATAAAAAGTCCGTTATTAAAATTAAAAGAGAGGCGCAATGCTCACTTGCACGTTGCTTAGCTTCGGGCCTTGAGAAACTACACATAGCTCCGTGCAGTCTAAACCATTTTAAGGCCTGAAGCTAAGCAACGTGAAGGTGAGCATTGCACCTCTCCTTCATCATCTCTACACTCAGGGCTTATGAACCGCTGTGAGAGTGCCTCTCGCTTGGCGAGGTGGGACTAAAAAACAGCTGCAGAAAGAATCAACTAAAAAACTCTAGTACCGGTTCATGCCACGAACCGATACTAAAGGTGCTTGTGGGGCCCCAGCCTTAGAACCGGTACTAAATGAAATGCCTTTGTAACAGATGATTTTTCGTCCGAAACCCTGATACTTTGAAAGAGATTGTGTAAATATGTAAATATACATTGATCAATACCGCCTTTCAGCCAAAACGCGCTACTGCTATGTGTAAACATGTAAAAATATACCCCCTCTATAAAAAAATATAAGAGCATTTAGATTACTAAAATAGTGATCTAAATGCTCTTATATTTCTTTACAAAGGAATACATAAAAAATACATTGATCATCAATGATCTTTTTGTGTACAATTTGAATTGTCAATATGAGTCCTCACCGGTTTAGAAACCGGAGAAGACTCATATTGTGGCCACAAATTCTACACATAGAGTTCAATGAAGACCAAGTGGTTGTGATAGTTTGAGAAGTAACATATTTTAGGTGGTAAAAACCCTGTTAGCGGAGTGAGGTGGGACTAAAAAACCGATGCAGAAAGAATCAACTAAAAACCTCTAGTACTGGTTTATGGCATGAACCGATACTAAAGGTGCTGGTGGGGCCCCAGCCTGACCACAGCCTACCACAGCCTCTTTAGTACCGGTTCGTGGCACGAACGGCTACTAAAGGTTCACCACGAACCGATACTAATGAGCTCCGCCCGTCTAGCCGTTGGAACCGGCACTAATGGTCACATTAGTGCCGGTTCAGTTACAAACCTGGACTAATGTGCTTCACATTAGGTCCTTTTTCTACTAGTGATATGTTGACAACCCGAGTAGCTGTTCCTCTCCTTCTGCTTCCAGTCTCCATCTGTCTCTCTCGGACCATCTCTCTGGCGAGTGGAATGATTATCCATCAGTTTATCCCTTAGGTCCTTTTCCCTTCGCACTTCCAGTCTTTCTCTGAGATCATGGCCGCGAGGCGTGTCATACTTGTCCCTTGCTTTGTTTGGACTAGACACCTCCCCCTGGATGCCTAGGACGGTCGCCATTGCGGCCATTCGAGGTACGAGAAAATTCAATGTGCAAGTTCCTCTTCGTTGGCATATGTCGAACCATGGGATGCTCAAAGTTCTTGTTTGCAGTCTTACCAGTGTGAGAACTACCCTAGCTATAATTGTTGCTACTAGCCCCAGTCGTGGACCCATCTTTGCCTGAATTATTCCTCCCCGGAGAGGCTCTTAGCCAGCCAACCCATTGTAGTGTCGAGTCGGCAGGGGGTTCACACACCCCCTACATGCACAAGTCTACCACAATCAAAGCAGAAGTGTGGGATCTTTTCATAGTAAAAGTCAAACCAAGTCTTCTCTTCATCATCCTTCTTCTTTCTTAAATAGAAACCTCTGACCAGTGGCTCAAAAACTGAGATTTTTGCTATGACTCTCAAATTCTGCCCCCTTGTAAAACCCTCTTTATCCACATCAACCTTAACAATCTCCCCAAGCCAATCCCCTAATGCTCTGCCAAAAACTTTTGTCCTCTTGTCCGGTGGTAAGTCTGTGACCCTCACCCAAACATCAATCTTTTCAAACACCATCTCTGAAGGTCTCTTATCGCCCTCGAACTCCTTCATGATGAGAACATTGAAATCATATTGCCATGACCCATTATGTAACACATGCCTATAGTCTCCAAAAATATTGGGGCCGATCTTTGCAAATTTCGCTTCTCTATGCAGACCCCAAGCCCTAGGCATGGTTTTCTCAATCACTGACATTTTCATTGGCCTGGGAGAACAAACTTTGCCCACTGCTGACCAACGGTGCTCTTTACGGACTTGAGGATTTGGATCTTCAAAAATGAAGTCTTCTACTTCCTTGTCCATGAGCACCATGCCTCCCAACCTCGCTGAAAGGCTTGCCGCCGGATCCGGCATCATGCTCTCCGCAGGGAACTCCCCCCCCCCCTAGCAGATCCACCGTCCTTCCGCGTCGGTGGCGTGACCGCTGCCGCAGCTGAGTTAGATGGCGTTTTTTTTGCCGTGGCCGCACCCTTTCCTCCTGCTTCCCCCGCCATCAGCACCGCTCCAAGACAGGGAAACATAGCCTCGTCGACCTTGGTCTGGGAAGACGCCATCGCCATCCCGATCCCAACTGAAATCCAGCCACCCAGGTGCTCCGAAACCCTAATCCTAGCGTGGAACGCAATCGCCGCCTTAGCGTTTCGTGACTTGATGGACCCCAGATGCAATCACGCCCGGTTCGTATCCTATAAGTACGAAAACCACGTATCCTATACGAATACAAGCCACCCCTTAACAAAAGAAGGTATGCACGACCATAGCCCCCGTGCAAAAAAAAAGAAAGAAAAACGTCCAAGCCTGATAGCAATTAGCCATCTCATTGATACCGCGATCGAAACCCCTAACCCCTCGCCTCCCGCGACCCCCACCCGCCGCCACCTGCTTACTACCGCCCACCGCGCCGCCCGCGAACCGGTCCGCCGCTAACCCCGCTGGTTTCCTCCGCCTCCCGCAGCCCGCTGCCTATGACGGTGGTGGCGCCGAAGGTCGAGAAGGAGGAGGAGCAGGTGGTGAACCCGTGGGAGGTGTCGGCCGGTAAGGGCGGCATCGACTACGACAAGCTTGTCGACCAGTTCGGCTGCCAGCGCCTGGACGCAGCGACCATCGACCGCGTCGCACGCCTCACTGGCCGCCCCCCGCATCGCTTCCTCCGCCGCGGTCTCTTCTTCGCCCACCGGTATCGTTGCAAAATCATCATGTTCGCTTCTTTCCTTTTCCGGTGTGGTAGGAGGAATCGCTGACGATCCCTTTTGTATGGGCAGGGATTTCAACGAGATCCTTGACCTGTACGAGAAAGGCGAGAAGTTCTACCTATACACGGGGAGGGGCCCCTCGTCGGAGGCCCTGCACCTTGGCCACCTCGTCCCCTTCATGTTCACCAAGTAAGCAGGCCTGAAGCTTCAGCTCCTCTTTGTTGATTCACTGTGCTCTGTAACTGGGCAATGCTGCTGTCACAGCGAGGCAGTGGGGCCATATTTTTCGCTAGAATAGCCTGTGATGCGATGAGGTGTGAAGTTGTTCCCAATTTGTTTCCAGATCTAGAATCTAGTGAAACCTGTATGTTTCTGATGCTGAAGTCTTCCTTCATGCCTGTAGCCACACACATGCAGAGAGCATAATGCACAAAATTTGCACCAGGAAATTCATGCCTGTTTATGGTATTGTCAAAGACAACAAACTGACATAATATTACTGTATTATCCATAACGATCAAGCTTAAGTAACTTCACATCCCACTCATACAAAGTAGCATAACAGAAGGGGGCACTGCGCTATCATAGTCTGCTTCGGTGGTCGCCCTCGGTTCGAAATAGAGGTTATTTTTCATCTTGGCGGGGGCCTGTCTGGGTGCGTGGGTGTGTTTCCTCTTCTATTATCTGGATCTGTGCTTGAGTTGTTTTATCTGTCCATGGGCAGTTAAGAGTTTTATGTGAATTTGGCGTATATGCAGTATGGAACAATAATGAGGCCATTTGCCAAGTAAAAGATGGCATATCATCAATTACCTTATTTAGAAAAAAAAAATACTAGGTGGCACGATGAGGATGCTTACCATTTATCTTTCATGTTTAAGTAGACCATAAATACTCTACAGCCCAAAATGCATTCTATACCCCCTAGCCTTTATGTAGCATCTACACGAACTAAACGACCATTTAATTCTTGCGCTGGGGTCCTGACTCCCATTTTTTATTTTGTAAGTAACCATGGGCAATGTTGATTAAGCATCAAGTTTTTTGTTCAGATATTTGCAGGATGCTTTTAAGGTGCCACTGGTAATACAGCTCACTGATGATGAGAAGTTCCTGTGGAAGAATTTGACTGTTAACGAAAGCAAAAGGCTTGCACGTGAAAATGCAAAAGACATCATAGCATGTGGCTTTGATGTTGAAAAGACTTTCATTTTCTCTGATTTTAATTTTGTTGGAGGGTAAGGTTACTCATTTTAATTGTAGTTCTGATTAATTTTTGACCTTGTAGCCATCTTGTTTCTGTTCAGATAACTCTGCCGCTAAGCAAGTGAGTATGCTGTTCGTGTCAGCTTTGCTTACTAGATGACAAATTAAGTCTTCTTTCCTTTCCTTGCAGTGCCTTTTATGAAAACATGGTTAAAGTTGCCAGATGTGTGACATATAATAAGGTGAGGCCTCTTCAGTTGAAAAGGAGAACGTCTACTCCCTCCGTCCCATAATATAAGATATTATTACATCCAATATACTCATATATTGGATGTAATAAGATCTTATATTATGTGACGGAGGGAGTACATTCCAAAATCGAGTCGCTTGCCTTCAAGCATTATCTTTCACCAATATAGTTTACTCTTGAATGACAGGTTGTAGGAATATTTGGATTCAGTCAAGAGGATCACATAGGAAAGATTAGCTTTCCTCCTGTGCAAGCAGTTCCGTCATTCCCTTCTTCATTTCCCCATCTCTTCTCTGGCATGGAACAACTACGTTGCCTGATCCCATGTGCAATAGACCAGGTATAAACATAACTTTTTGTATAATCATCTTGTCTAACATGATTGGTTTTATATCCTATCAATATGGATGTCTTTACCCCGCAAAAATAAATAAATATGGATGTCTTTATTATTACTATGCAAATATCATGAAGGCTCAGTTCTGTTGGCGGCTTCTAAAATAAGCTACCCCCTCCCCAGCTTATTTGGTTAACTGGTTTAGAAGCCTCAATGCATAGTATGGGGGCGGCTTCTAAAATAAACTGGGGAAGGTATGGCTTATGCCATAAGCTGCCAAAAGATCTGGGCCGAAAGCATGTCTGAATAATTTTGTCATAGATGCTGATCTGTTGGTAGATGTTTTTTTTTAACAAGCATCTGTTTGTCAATCGATTCATTTTCTATTCTGCCAGGATCCTTATTTCAGGATGACCCGTGACGTTGCCCCTAGAATTGGTTGTCAAAAGCCATCACTAACTGAATCCAGATTTTTCCCTGCTCTTCAGGTACATTTGTTTTTCTCAGGAATATGAATCCAGAAATTAATATCTTCACTGGACAGAAGTTCGAAAATCTTGGTCTTTACTCTTGTAAAAGTCTGAGTTGGTGGCAGTCCATTCACCCTTAGAGATTACCTCTTAAATTGCAAAAAATTATTACCATAATTATCATGCATTCTATGTAGTAGATAAATGTATCACAATATTTTTATTAGTTGATCCATTGATATATATTTTGAAATATATTTTTATTTGCACAAAGCTAGAGATTACTATGACAAGAGCGTTTAAACAACTCATGCAATAAAAAAGAACTTCTGTAGCAAATGCTTGAGCATTTAACTTCCGTAGCAACGCACGGGTATTTAGCTAGTGGCGATGAGACATGAGTTAATGCATGGATGCACAGTGGAGATCTTTGATGGTATGGAATTATCCATACAATGCCAGCCAGTTAGGTTGTATAGCAAAGTGATATCTTACACATGAAAATTTTCAATTGGAAGTATGCAAGCTTGTCCCTAGAATTCTTAATTGTGAAGTTACAAGTGCATCCCATATTTATGCATATGTTAACCAAGACTAACAAATGTAACTAACCTTTCTCTTTTATGGGATAAATGCAGTAGCTTTTACCGAGGGATAATTATACCCACGGTATGGCTGTACCAAAATACCTTGTGCAGGTCTATGCCTACGTATACTATGCCTTAGGGCCCACACGGGTAATCTGATTTAGTTTGGGTAAGTCACGGGTACTAGAAATCACATGCGGATATCTAAGGTATAAACAGGGCAGGCTTATCCCTAAGCTACTCCCTCCGTTTTCAAAAAGAGGGCGTGCATGTGGTTGCACGCAGACCAACACAAACCAGAGCGCACCAGTCATATGAATATTCACACCCCCAGCTCAACTCCTGATTGGAGATACGCCTTCCTTTTGGAGAAAGATGGGAAAAATTGGATGCCTTGTTTTCGGGACTGGAGGGAGTAGCTTGCAATGCAAGGCAGAAGCCAAATGTAGAAGGTTGCTAGCTTGAGCCAAAGATGAAACTGTGGACTGTGGGATTGTTCTATTATTTCACAGGCTTATCATTATTGTTATTCATTTTCCAGGTGAACAAATATGCTTTCTCAGGTGGCCAAGACTCAGCGGAACTCCAAAGAGAGCTTGGAGCTAACCTTGAGGTAAGCCCTTGTCCTGCTCTTGAGAACATTTTATTGGACAACACATTAGTGCAGATAGCAAGCTTTTTTTGCTTCTCCGATTGCCTGTATTGTACACCGCTTTCTGAGATGTATTGCTTGAGATGCAAAACTTAAACTAAATAAATAGTTTGAGTATATATACAGAAAAGATCTCAGTCCTACAGAATCTGCAGTTGGGAAGCGGTGTGCATACGATTTATTTGGTACTCCCTCCGTAAACAAATACTCACTCCGTCCCAAAATAAGTGTCGTGGTTTTAGTTAAAATGAGTCCAAATTCAAACTAAAACCATGACACTTACTTTGGAACGGAGGGAGTATAAGACATTTTAAACATTTCAATATGGACTACATACGGACTGAAATGAATGAACAATACACTAAAATGTGTCTATATACATCTGAATCAGAAAAGAGTTAAAACGTTTTATATTTATTTACGGAGGGAGTACTATACCTGTACGATTAGACAGCCTGCTAGTGATCTTACATGTGCTGGCCTACAATCTGAAATGAACGTCATCGTGACAAAGCATCATTCGCACCCCGTCTTATTCTTGTTTTTTTTAGAGTCTTATTCTTGTTTTGTTCCTGCAATATTCTTGTTGTGTACTGGGTTCCTTGAGCAAGACAAAACCAATCAGTGAATTATAATTGTGGTGTTCAGGTGGATGTCCCGATTAAGTACCTGAACTTTTTCCTTGAAGACGACCATGATCTCGAGCAGATAAAGAAGGTAATATTTCAAGTTATGCTACATATATGGATCAGTTTATTCGATATGTTTCCTCTACCTATTTTCCTCAACTAAATGTATGTTCTGAATCTCAACGTCAGGGTTACGGGGATGGAAGCCTGCTAACTGGTAAAGTGAAGAATCTTCTTGGTGACGTTCTATATGAGGTGGTTAAAAGACATACGAGAGCTAGAGCTCAAGTGACCGAGGAGGTAATGCAATTCATTGGATCTGTCATCTTGCACACTTCTGTACATTCTGAAGTACACAATAAGCACTGCGCGGCGCAATAATATTTAGTATCTTTGCGGCAAAAAATATATTTCGTATCCGCTGTGCTCACACGTAATTATATTATGCATATTTTGCACAGTAGTGAGCATGTATATGCAAGCACGTCCGACAGCATGGCTATAGTTTTTAACGAAATGCTCATCTCAGCAATATGCATCGATTTGACATATACGTAGTATTTCTTGTCTATTTAACGATTTCCTGCTTGTGCAGATGGTTGACGCCTTCATGGCTGCGAGACCTCTTCCCAATATGTTTGGCTGAGAATATTAGCAAAACAGGAATGCTACCAATGTAGTACAAGGTTTTATTTTTAGTTGGAGTAGTTTTTTTCATTTTTTCCAATGGCCTGACGTAGCAACGGTCCCAAGACGCCAATGATTTTAGCCATGATCAATTTCGAAGCAGAATAACGAAGTACTAATTCACTAGTCTCTTTTTGGTTGTGCAAAAACAAAGTTGACCTTCTTATCCAAGTATCTGACTGGACAAGATTCTTTGCCCCCAAAAAGAGCCAACCTCCTCCCTGAAGACTGGGCTTGGGCCCACAGGCACACAAAATCTTTGGCAAAACTGACTAGCATTTATCTCCATACACCTCACTCCTTCCATGTTTTTAAAACTAGAATTGCTTTTTTGAAACTGCACTCCCAACATTTTTTGTTTGCTGAGAAATCAGTTGACCATGTATCAAGATCCCTTTGTGTTACTACTTGAGAAGCATGACAATTGCACAAGCTGACACTCTTGTACAGAGATATCAGAAATGTAACAGAAGGTTCCTGAAACTTACTTCCACTCACTATTATAATATGTTTAGGATATTTTCATATGTACTACTCCCTCCGTTCCTAAATATTTGTCTTTTTAAAGATTTCAAATGGAGTATCACATTCGGATGTATGTAAACATATTTTAGAGTGTAAAATTTTGAGAGAGAGGGAGGG